TGTGCGTGTGTGTGTGTGTGTACATGCGAGTGTCTGCGTGTGTGTATGTAAAACCAAAAGCCACCTGCCACATGACCCAACAAACATGCTGCCTGCTTCGCTTCCTTCTTCCAATCTCTGCCATCGGGGATCCCGCCCTTCAATGCGGACAGCTTGGCCACACCGGGCTTCAAGGCATCTTTGGCTCGGTCGAGCTGGACACTCGAAACCTGCTCAATGATGCCGTTGCACTTTGCCAAGAGCATGTCACATGCACCCGGCAGGTTGAAAACCTGCGCATCCTCCGGCATCTTAGAATGCTTGACATCTCCAGGAACGCAGCCAGCCAGCCGCTTGATGCCCTGAATAAGTTTGCGCTCGAGAGTCTCGAAGTTCTTGTGCCCGATCCTGCCGTGAAGATCGTCGGCCAGAGCCATCCAGGCATTCATATGCCCCAGTAGCAACCCGTAGCTCACCACACGGGTCGAAACGGCCTTCATGTAGGCAGCATCCTGGGCCTTGGAATAATGTAGAGGGTGCAGGGCGAAGTGGTACATAATTTCGAACTAAAGCTGTATGGTTTAGACTTCGCGCGCATTCTGGGACTGAACACAACAGAATCAACAGAATCAGACGTGGTGCATCGGGCACATGTTTGGAAAGCAGAAGTCCAATGGAACCAAGCTCGAGCCCTTCTTTGGTCTCGGCCGTTTTCCACGAAGCATCCATGATCCGGGCATATGCCTTCCAGGCAGCCTCGAGACAACAGACGTGGAAAAGAAAGGAGGTGAACATTGCCCACAACAATTCGCACTACACTTACACTGTGAATGTCAAGCCGGACTGGCACGTCCGCTACGCCGCTACACATGACAACTGAGTTGACAACTGCTGGACCCATACAAGGCTCCTATAGTCACTATAGTCACCCAGCCGAGGAGCGCTGTCCTGATCCATCGCCTCTGGAATCAAGATGCCTTCCAAGGCAAGTTTCTTGAGCTTGGGGTGCATCTCCAGCATCTCGGAATTGGATGTAGCAGCGGAAAGCTGTGTCACAGCGTTCCCCAGATCTTGCCGTTTGGCTTCTTGGTCCACCGCCAGAAGCTTGGGTCGCAAAGCCGCCAAAATAGGCTCCAACTTGGACACAGCCTCTTCGGCGTCCCTGACGTTCGATTTGGCAAGCAAACAGGTTTCCTCCATCAAGCGCACGGCCGTCGTAGCCGGGCTTCCACTGTCCGCCAGCATCTGTTCTGCTAGCGACTGCAATGCCGAGATTGCCAGCACCTGCAACTCCTCGACGGCTCCGGCTCGAAGGCTCTCGTGGTAGATCCTGAGTTTACTGAAAAACTCGTGCACGGTCTCGATCTTCAACTTATCCAAGTTGTCTTTGCTGAACATGTTCGCGAAGGTTTCCAGCTCGTCTTTGCAGGATTGCTCCGCAAATGCGTAGGTCCAGTACTGATCCAACAAAGCCTGGCTAAGTGTTTGCTACTCTGCTACTATTACTATAGCTAGTGCAGCTACTACAGCTACAGCGACTTAGACTTATTAACCTATACAGTAAAGACTCGGACCTAAACAAGACTCCTGCAGAATCTTGATGCTCCGGTTTGCTCTTTCCGATACACACGTCGTGACACTACAATGTTATGCATCCCGGCCAAGGGCCTTGTAGTGCGCAGAGGTCGTCAATGCGGCGTGCAACACGCCGAGCGGGTTGGCCATGTTCTTCTCTGCCGTCAAAGTCTTCACAAAGCTGGGATCAGGCAAGGACGTCACGCATACGTTCGTGCCTGACACGGCCGTCAGAGCCTTCAGACCGACAATCAGGCGATTAACGGCTTTCTTGCTTGCATGCTCCTCCGGCAACACAGAAGCCGACAAGCTCTGCTCCATCTGCCGGATGAGGGCCTGCCCATCACGCTATGGCTATGGCTATGCCACTATATGTCGACGCTCTTGTAGGCCAGGCCGTGCGATGCGGATCTATCAACTACTCTGTTCATTTACTGCCTCTCTACTGCTTAACTGCTTAATGTCCATGCCCATGCCATAGCCATAGCCGCCATGGCGTTCTGATGATCCCCCATCAGACCAAGGACCAACTGACAAAGGGAATGCATCCGTGACATCACTATATATACAGTATTTAAAATCCACAGCTGCTAAAATTGTGATGTGCAACGAAATGAACCCTTGGGCCATTGGAAACAACCTGCCTGACACACGTCGGCCAAGTCCTGCTGCTGCGCTTCACCCTCCTTCACGAGTCGAACCAATCGGTCAAGGACGGCTTTCTCGCACAAGCGAACCTTTGTCAGGTCGTCCCCGTCGCATTCCGCAAGTCTCGGTGCTCGCAGGTCGAAGGTCTTGGGCGACATACCCTCGCTCGGTGGCTCTGCCAGCGGGCACATCGTGTTCCAAAACTCTTTGGCGGAAGCTGCCTCGCCGCTGAGGGGAGCATCCTTGCTGAACTTTTGCACGATGCCAATCTGCACATCTTTGGGAATGTCAAGCGCGGGAAGCCCTTCCGAGAGACGGTCTTTCATCCACTCGTGCACCGTCACACAATGCACCTACAACTCCAGAATCCATAAGGTGGGACAAACCAACCCACCCACCCACCCCCTATAATCAAAAAAAGGAGTGATCTAAGCACCCACCACTCCAGTCAAGCCTTCATGTTCTGGAGGCTCACGGCCTTGACCTCGGTCGGGGTCAGCATCAGCGCCGATGTGGCAACCCGGTGGAGCTCCTCCTGGGGCCCTGCGTCCTCCGGGCTCTTCTCTTGCAACGTGGAGATTTTTCTCTTTCGGTGATACAATGTCTGCTTGCTGATCACGCCCGTGAGCACCTTGCCGATGTCCGAGGGATCCATCATGGCGGCGGACTGGTCGCCCTTGGAACTCTTCTCCTCGGTCTTGCGCTGCCTTCGTTCCTTCGGCACGGGGTCCACCTCCTTCTCCTTGTCCTTGCCTTTCTTCTTCTCCTTCTCCTTGTCTCTCAATCCAGAGGCGGCTGCGGATGTGTCCGGCTTGTCGGCCACGGCCTTGCTGTCCTTGTTGCCCTTCTTGGCGGAGCGAATCAAAGCCTTGTTGTCCTTCTTTCCGGGCCGGTCACGGGCGTCCTCCTCGTCCATCAATCCAAGGCTGTGCACCGTAGGCATGGACGTTTCCACCTCCGGCACCTCCTGCGGGATTTCCTGGCAGGAAACTGCTATGAGGCTATGTCAGAATCAGAGTATGCTGCGATTGTTTTTCAGGCATTCACAGATTCACAGATTAACCACAAACTGGAATCAGACCCACACGTGTCTAAGTCTAGGACAGGATGGTGTTCAACGGTGTTCATGAGACATAGTCTTCAACCATCAAATCAGAGTCAAATCAAATTGGAAGTGGCCTGGCTCGCACCGAGATTGAGGATATTCGCGAAGCTTTCGTTCTCCTGCGTACTTGCATCCATGGCGCTCTTCACCATTTTCGCCTTCTGGACCTCTGCCTTGAAGTCGGCCATTGTCCAGGGTGCACCGTGCAGGCTCAACGGGTTGGCCTTGCTCTTCTTGTTGTCCCGGAGCTGCGACCACGTTTCGTAACCTTGGCCCTTTCGGAGGCAGTTGCGTGCCGAGCTCTGGATGTCCTGCATGTTGAAACTTTCAGCAATTCTCGTGAAGCCCGGTTTTCAAGGACCGATGAGAGTTCCGAAAGACTGATGCCAAACTCGAGACGTTAGAGTCAGAGATAAAACTCAACAACAGAAATCCAACACATAGAACCACACTGCTATGACATAACCACACTCATGCTGATAAGTGAAGAGTTTTAAAATGACGAGCAAGTGTGTGTGTGTGTGTGTGTGTCTGTGTGTGTCTGTGTGTGTGTCTGTGTATGGGTGTGTGTGTGTGTGCTCTATCGAAGGCCCCAGTGCGCGGACGGACCCCGTCCATGGTCCCAGGCCCTGACGGGGGTTGGAGCCAGGATGTTAGAGCCGAAATCTTTCATTTTCGGCTCCAACGTTGCTGCTGCTGTTTTGTTGTTGTGGTTGCTGTTTCTGCTGCTGCTGCTGCCAGTCCCACCCACCCACCCACCCACCCACCCACCCACCCACCCACCCACCCCCACCCCCACCCACACAGCAGCAGACACACACAGACACAAAGACACACACAGACACACAAGACAGACACAGACACACACACACACACACGCACACACACACACACACATACACCCATACACAGACACACACAGACACACACAGACTCCTACAGACTCCAGACTCCACAGACACACACACACACACACACCCACCACCCACCTATCACCACCCACCCATGCACGCACACAGACACACATACACACACACA